TTTGACTCCCTCTTTTCTTTTTATTCTTTATCCCAGAATCCTCAGTGTTTCCCCCAGTGGGTCTGTCAGCTCCTGGCAGGTGAGAATCACATAGGAAAATTCCCTGGTCTTTCCAGTGTTCTCTGACTTGTGGAAAGTTCTGTTTCTATAGCACTCTGTGACAGCACCCACGCGCACTCTGCCCATTAGTCACAGAATAGAACTCCCACACATTCTTAGCAAAACATTAAGTAAAGAAAGCATCTTGAGAGCCATGACTCTGAATGCACTCCTGCTTGTAATCAGTTGCTGCATAGAAATATGATTAGCAAAGCAAAGACCCCTAAGATCCTCTGAGATTGAATTTTGATTTGCTTACATTTGTCTCAATAATCGACATTCTGCTAAATTAGCAAATGTGGAAGTGAGACCTGAATCTTTTTTTTTGCATTATGGAACAGATTTAAGATTCTCAAAGTAGCCAAGTCCTTTTGTGATGAAAATATTTCTTCTAGTCCCACTTTTTTTTTCTTCCCCTGTCAGACAAGTTGGAGGTGGGGCAATAAGACAAAGACAATCTTTAAACTTACTTGGCAGAGTAGTGGGAAGAGTATTGGCATTGCGCTGAGATTCTAAACTCTGCCATGCATTACTGTCTAAGGGACTTTAGCTAAGTTACTTAATCTGTCTGAGCTAAAGTTTCTTCATCCATAAAATGGAGATAAGGTCAGCGCTGACTCACTCATAGGCGCAAATGAGATAATGTAAAAGCCACGAAATGCTGTACAAATGTCTAGTGTTACGAGTCACCGAGGAGTGCTCATGAGTCCCAGTAAGAGATGAAGCAGCCATGGCATCGTCTCTGAACAGACACGCCAGGCTCAGGAGCTGAATGTAGACGATAAGTTCCTCCCTGATGGAAAGCTCCTGGTGAAGGCTTTGGAAATGTTCTAAGGACACAGTGCTGGTCAGTCCTAAAGATGGCACCAGGTGAGTGGAGGTTCTGAGAAGGCAGATGTAAGGCTAAGATGTAAGGCAGATGTAAGATCTAAGGAGGCCTAGAACTCTTCAAAACAGAGTGGACTAAAAAATTCAAAGCTACTACAGATTCGGCCACAAAGAGGGTCAACGGCAAGCCTGTAACTATGGCAGTAAAGCAAAATAACAACTGAGGAATATTAAAAAAATGGCTAAAACTTTAGTCAAAACGATGCTATTTAATATCCAATAAGATGATTCAGAACGCTTTCTTTTCAACAGAAATAAATCTTTCTTTGTAAAAATATGTCCCCTTTCCCAGTCATGTGCAAGTTCAGGATGCAGTAGGATTTGCTTATAGTTATGAGAGTGAAGGGTAATTGGATTGCAGATGTGCTGCATGATAATGTTTTGCAGATTTCAGATGCCACGCTCTGACTTCAACCACACACTACTGAAGGTTATGGCACCTAGAGGGAGTGGATCCCTGTACTGGTGGAATTCTGTCTGGTGACAGGAATTTTATCGGTGGGAGCAAAGCTAGGTTCTCCAGATCACTGCAATTAAAGCAACTTGGGCAATTAAGTTTTGACTCTGTGGCTAATCACTGGTTGAATTTTAGGAGCCTGCCTCTTTAGCTGGAAACTGAAATGACTGGAATACATCTTTACAGTCCCAATGTCCTACAAGAAGCATCAGAGAAGAAAACTTTGAATAGGGAGGTTGTGACCATCACATTTTTAGAATGTTGGAAGTTTGGGAATGAGGAGAACAGGCTTATAAAAGAGTAGGCATCTTAATCACTTTCTTATCAACGGGACAAAATAGCCAAAATCCACAACTCAGAGGAAGAGAGGTGTATTTTGATCCATGGTTACAGCCAATGGTTGGATTGTTCTAAGGCAGAAAGAGCACGGCACGGAAGCACAGTGGAGGAAAAGCTGCTCACTTCATGGTGCTCAGGAAGCAAAGAGAAAGAGGGAAGGAGGGGAGGAGGGAGATGCACCCTTCCAAGGTGAGCCCCCAGGGCCTTAACCTCCTTTGATCAGAGCCCACTTCCTGTGGGCTTGTACAGGACACATTTTAGCTGTTGTTCCCCCAGGACACAGTCACCTTCCAAACACACGGGGCTTTAGGGGACAGTCAGGATCTAAACCATAGCAGTAGTAATTTTTCAGAAAAGCAGGTGGTGATGATTAGAGAACATCTGGGGAGAGACAAGCTGAAAGCAAGTGGGCAGCTGAGCAATCAGAGAAAACCTGCAAGGCCTTCTCAACATTGGTGACTACAGGATGTGTATATACGAACAGTCCACGCTCTGATGGCTTTTAAAGACATTTTTTCAAATTGTTATTATTTTTACCCACATATGAGGGTATCCAGAAGGATATGAGAGGACATCAGGCTGTGTGAAGAGAAAATTTAAGTCATGTGTCCAGAATACTAAAAAGTTAGAATGGGTGGGAGTAGTTTGAATCTGAGATCAAGGAATGATTCAAAAACACCGTCCATAAAAAGGGTGGGAAAACATACAAAGAGATCAGCCACAGATGTGAACTAGACAGAGACTGCCCACAAGGAACTTGTGTCATCAATTTTAGGGGAAGGCTTGGACACGATCACCTAAGAAACAGAAGACTGCTTTTGTTGGGATCATCCTCAACTGCTTAGATGTTACTATTGACGTGAAAAACACGAGATCAGGCCCATGGAAAACAACACAAGGTTAAATAATTCAAGGTCATTTGGCAACGGAATAGTAGTGGGCAGAGTTCTTAATTGCCCATCAATCTTTTAAAATATATATCTACAAGGCTTTTGGGACGCTCTCGGAAGGGAATGACACAGTCAAACGGAATCTCTAGTTCTAGTTTTTTGAGGAATCTCCGTACTGATTTCCAAATGGTTGTACCAGTTTTGTTGTGGAAGGAATTGGTAAATGACTGAAAAAGGCAGTGCCAGAGCTGGGGATTTAGCCGCCTGCCTTGCAAGTGCAGGGACCTAAGTTCGATCCCCCCAAAAGGCAGGGCCAGTGATTGACCTTTTGTCGACCAAATAAACTTTTTATTATTTTACTTCCATTCTGCTTCTCTGTATGCGTCGCTTACCAATTCCTTCTGCAACAGTTTACATTCCCGCCAATAGTGTAGAAGAGTTCTCATTTCTCCATGCTCCCCAGCATTTGTTATTATTTGATTTCTTGATGATGGCCGTTCTTTCTGGGGTAAGGTGGAATCTCAGTGTTGCTCTAATTTGTATTTCTCTAATGCCTAGTGATATTGAGCATTTCTTCGTATATTTATTGGCCATTTGTACTTCTGTGAACTATCCAGTTCAGTTGCCTATTTTTTGATTGGGTTTTTTAAATTGTGGGTGGTCTATTTTTTTAAAAAGTTCTTTATATCTAGATATCAGTCTGTCTAAGAAATAGCTAGTAATTTCCCTCCGTTTTTGTAGGTCATCTTTTTTACTCTGTTGATTGTTTCTTTTGCTATGCAAAAGCCTTTAAATTTGATCTGATCCCATGTGTTGATTCTTGGTACTATTGCTGTGCAACCAGGGCATCATTCAGAAAGTCCTTGTTTATGTCCATGACTGCAAGTTTTACCTATTTCATCATCCAGCAAGTTAATTGTTTCATTTAGTTCCCTGATCCATTTTGATGTTAGTTTACTACGTGATGAGAGACACGGGTCTGTGTTCAGTCTTCTGCATTGGGATAGTCAGTTTCCCCAGCACCATTTATTAAAGAAATTGTCTCTCCCCCAGTGTATATTTTTGGCCCCTTTGTCAAAAATGCAATAGTTGAATGTGCTTGTGGTTGTTTCTGCGTCCTGTATTTGGTTCCACTTTTTCTCACATCTGTTTTTGTTCACTATAGTGCTGTTTTTATCACTGTAGCTTTGTAATATAACTTGTAGTGTGGGATTGGATGCTTCTTGCTTTGCTCTTTTCACTCAGGATTGTTTTTACTATTCTAGGTGTCTTCACCAAAGAGTTAAACACATCATATTACAGTGGTACATACACACCCTTGTTTATAGCAGCATAACTCATAATAGCTAAATGTTGGGAGCAGACAATATTCCCATCAACAGATGAATGGATAAAGAAAATGTGGTTTTTGCATACAATGAAGTACTACTCTTAAAGAAAGATAAACTTGAGTCATTTGTAGGAACCCCTTGAGACCATAACGTTAAGTGAGATGTCAGGCATACAAGCTTGAATAGAAATTGCTTTTTCTTACATGAGAAACCCAAATATAAATAAAAAAGCAACATGAAAGATAGATGAAGGAAGTAAGGAGGTAGATCTTTCTAAAAAGAGAAAGGGGTGAAAAGACAGAGGAAAGGGAGAGAACAAGGAGAGACGGGATTAGAAAATGAAACGAAGAAGTGTTATGTATATGTATTAACTCCACACAGGGAACGTAAACATTATGTGTTATAAACATGAACCAAAAAAGAAGATAAAAAGAACAAGAGATGGATGGAGCAGATTGGGAAGGCAGGGAAATGGGATTAAACAAACAGAAGAACTGAGTGTTATTATGCCCTTGTACCAGTTCCCCAAGAGGAATGCAAACATGTTTACTACAAACATATAGTAATACAAATGAATGGTATCTATATCCATATATCTATACCAACAGAGCACCTGCAGTTTCTTTAACTGGAGTAATTTCGGTTATACGAGTGATAACCCGTTGTTTATAGGAATTAAAATGCATTGGTATAGTTAGTTGCAAGAGTTGTTTTGTGACTATTAGAAGCAACCAGATTTCAATGGCTCATTATTTATCCAACAAGCACAGGAGGAAGATCTGAGGCCAAATGTAGTGATGTAACATTTCCTTACTTCCTATTCTTAGAAAGTTTATCATTCAAGAGGAATACAAAGCCTCCAAAGCAACATACATATTTGACAGAAAATCAGTGACTATAAAAGAGCAACGCATGTTCTGATGACTTTTAAAGACATTTTTGAAAATTGTCAATATTTTTGTGCAGAGAAAGAAAATTTTCAACATTGTCACTTACTTTTAAAGGTTGATTGGATTGCCTGTTTCTTTTGTAGTTTACATTTCTTTCTCTTTCTTGGTCTCTGAAAAAGAGGGGGGGCATTACAAAAGGAAGGGTGTAGAGTTCGAAGGTGCAAAGTTGTAAGCACTGATTCTCACATTAAAACAAATCCTAGAGTAAGCTACCAATATAAGACATTTCTTTCACTGAAGAAGGAAGCTAGGGTGTAAGGGCAGTATTTAATGGAGACTTGAACCAAGTAGCGTAAAAACTATTATTTAAATATTACTAAGCTCAAGTTTTCAGTGAATCATTTTAAAAAGAAAATTATTTTTTAAGACATAGTTAATGAAGGTTTTGAGAAAAATTATCTGCCTGAAAGGGAAGTACTTTAACACAAAGGTTTGGAGAAAAATTCAAACAGTGTATAAAATGCTTTCCATACTTACACCCGCCGTAATGACATGGTAGCTAGAGGAGGGAGCTATGGGAATCAGGCCTACTCAGTTACCTCCACCCTGGTAGGTGAGGTGACAAATATGGTGGCCTTCCTCATCCTCCTGTACGTGGTCCCTCAGTATCCCTAGGGGATGGGTTCTAGTCCTGCCACACACATGGATGCTTAAGGCCCTTTTGCAAAATGTTGTAATTTTTGCATAGAGCCCATAGGCACGCTTTTGTATATTAAATGACCTCTAGATGACTTATGAAATACCTACACCAGGTAAACGCTATGTAGATAATTGCTATATTACATTAAGGAAATGCAAGAAAAAGATGTCTGCACATGTTCAGTAGAGATATACTTATCCCCGGAATAATTTTAATCCAATGTTGGTCAAAACTGCAGTTATCAGACTTATAGATTTGGAGCGCTGAATGTACTTATTCAGCAGGGATTGGACAGATACAATTTTCACATATGAAATTGGTATATCAAACTGAAAGAGTGCTGAATTGAATGATTCCAAGTACAAATTACTGCTAGTCTAGTGATGAGATGTTATGTGTGTAAAATAAAAGACCAGAAAGCAAAATAATATTCTAAGTTAGACCACAATGAGATATTCTGGAAAAAAAAAATAGAAAAACCTTCCTTAATCCTATTATTTTCTTTTTCTCTGCCAACTCAGAATTATCAAGTTAAATTGCCATTATCTGACTACAAAGAAACACTATCTAGAAGATAGAACACTATCTAAAAATACGATCCACAAGAAAGATTAACAATAATGCACAGCATTTTTGGTTCCCCAAGGGACTTTCTTGGTCACTAACAGGTTTCCGAATCTAATGGATCAGGATTCTATGTCACAGCTAAACATTCTGAGGAGTAATTTATGGACCTGGAACATAAATAGGGATCCAGGATACTTTCTTCACTGTAGGCAGTGTCTTAGGTATGGGGAGAAGGCAGCTCATCACTTCTTATGTTCCAGAGCAATTTATTGGCATGAAATAGGCCTTTTAAATACTTATATCCTCCCAGACTGACTAGCCTGAGGATGAAAGGTTTTGAATTACACTCTGAAAGCTTGTTCTTGAAGAAAGTGCTATAGGGATAAAAACATAAAGAAATGAAAACCATTTAAAGAGCCTATAATTTCTTGAAATTTAACTTCAGGACAACCAGTAATAGCATGTATATGGGTTTGACTTGTGGTGGGCCATGACAGCCTGAGTAATTTAAGCGTGCACTACTTAGCACTTAGTTAATTTAACTGAGATATTCTGATTTCTTGAAAGGTTATTTTAAATTGTGTAAGAAGTGGGTAATTAACGACATGATTCTATAAATGAGGTTATAATCTTTTATCACAAAAGAGGATTTTTGAGACACTTGTAATGTTGAAATGTTTTGAAATAAAAGATCTGGCCATGATATCACCTAATTATTTTGTTATTAGGAGTTCTAACTTACATACATTTGAGCTGTAGGCAAGAAGAGATATAAATGGTTTCTTAGTTGTATGTTCTTTTAAAAATAATGCCCTATGGAAATATAACAGCATAATCTAAATTTTCAGAAAGCAAGAGAAAAATTGTTACCCTTAAATACATGATGTAACATCATTATCCTCTGCATAAAAGTTCTCAGTTTTGTACCATTATTTGATAACAGAACACGAACAGAACTTCTTAGCATTTTGCAGTCTTCCTTCAAGTTACTATTTTCTGTTTAATCCAACTGTAGGCAGACTAAGCCTTTCCTGTTCTGGAAGAGGAAACTTTCTGCCATTTGGCCGAAGTTGAAGAAGGAGAATGATAAAGTGTCCACAGTCTGCAAGCTAATCTCAGCAAGATGAAAGCACGCAGGTCCTGGACAGCCCAGTACCCGCAACACAGTGCAACACATCTGCTTTGTGGAGAGCCTGTCTGCCCTTGGTGTGAGGCCTTCTGGCTGCACTCTCTACCTTACCTTTGTGCTCAGATAGCTCCAGTGCAAACTTCATTCCACCAAAAATGTTTTATGTATTTTACTTTTTCTTATAAAAATTCAAACATACAAAAAATAAATTAATGAAAATGCAACTAAATCTGTATACTTATCACCCGTATTCAATCATCAGTATTTACATTATCTATCTGTGGTTACATCACCAAACTATTAGTAAGTATTTTTAAGATTTCTGTATGAATTTCCCAAGAACGACCAATAGAACCGTTAATAACACACCCATGAAAAGAACAATAACTCAATGTCTAATGTACATTTTATATTCAAATTTATCTAATTGTCTTTAAAATGCCTGTACTACCTGTGATTTTTTGTTTTTATTTATTTAGTCAGTCTTCATTTTATACAGGAGCCTAGGGCCCAGGGGATCAGGGATTTAGCTCAGTGGTGCTGCTGCCTGCCTCACAAGCACAAGGTAAAAGCCTTTATTCTTGGTGGCCATGTGTCTAAGTTTCTCTGGACCTCAAGACTTATGTCTAAGGGAACAATGGCTTGCGGACACCGATTAGCCATCTCTGCCAGGAGGAATTCTTGGAAATGGCTGAGCTATATAACAAACTATGTCAAAATTAATTAATTAATTAATTATTTACCAAGCACACGCGAGCGCGCGCACACACACACACACACGCACTGCTTACTCTCCCCACTGGAGTCAGTACCCCTTCAACTTACCAGGGGCTGGATCAGCCCTGCTTGCCTGAGACCGGGGCTGTCTACTGGAGCTGCTTCTAGTAGAAATGCATCTGTCACACGGTCTAATCAGGGGACAGTAGGGATGTGCAGGTGCACAGGGACTGCTGCACCAAGGACTGTGGTCGGGGAAAAGGCTCGGTGGCATTTCCTTTTCTCTGTAAGAGAAAATTCCAAATTGAATCTCAAAGACATTTTATGTAGCGGCATTAGTATGGTAGGTGTGATTAAAGTGAAAGTGTGTTTTAAAACTGAGACAGCGTGAAGAATTTGCCTGCAGATGAGTTCAGCACCTCTGTCCACAGCCAGCTCTTGATCTAGGATAAAATTCCTAGGGGATGCATCTCTTCACTTACTCACTAAGACCTGGGGGACAGCCTCCGCTCCCAACCTCTCCTTAGCAGCCTTGCCTCAAATTATGGTGCTCGGGAAAAGTGAAGTGGCCATAGGACTTCAATATTACCTATCAAAGACCAGCAGCTTTTATTGCTTAAAAGTATGTAACTGCTCACTCACTTTGTTTCTGTTTTCCATATGAGCCTTATAAAAAAATCATTGTTTTAAAACTATAGATTTATTTATTCATTACATATCTGTCACCCAGACATTCCCGCATGCTCAGTTATTGAGGAAAGGACTCAATAGAACAAACAACAAAACAAAGCAAAACATCCTTTACCTCTTAAGAAGTCGCACTTGTTTTTGGTCACATTTTGAGGCATCTTCTTTAGTTCGATCCTGGTTTTCTTTATTTACTGTGTTTGAAGATGCTGTCCACAAAAACATGTGCCTTCGGAATGCAGGTGATACTACTGAACTTCTGTTAAATTCAGTGTCGGTCTCTAATTTTTCCCACACTTGCTTCCAGTGAATAGGGGTGTACCAGGCAATAGCCTAATGAAAATGACTTCATTAATATCAAATATTGTTGGAGTTTTATATTTTTTAAAGTTGAAAACATTGCTATAGAATTTATATTTTAAAGTAAAATTTGTAAATTTATATTTACATGTTATGACATACATAAAATAAGATTATCACAGTTTAATAAATTAATGTATCTAATATTCATCTCACATAGTTGCTTTTAAGATTTTTTTTTTGTGTGTGTGTGCAGGGGATTGAACCGGGGACCTTGTGCTTGGGAGGCAGGCAGCAGTCACATAGTTGCTTTGGCTGCGACAAGAGCAGCTAAAATTTACTTATTTGGCAAAAGCAAAAATATCTCAAGTGATACAATTTGATTAACTGTAGTAAATGATAACTAATGTTGATGTTATTGTGAAAATTAACTAATGTTAATGCTAATGTTAAGCAATATTAACACTAACATAAGGTACATTAGATCTCTGGAATTGCTCATCCTATATATCTGTTACTTTGTAGGCTTTGACTTTCTTTCCCCATCCTTGCTCCTGGTTAATTACATTTTTATTGTCTATCTCCATATAGTTTCTCTTTGAAAAAAGATTCAATATGCAAATAAAATCATGCAACATTTCTCTTTCTGTGTCTGCCTTTCTTCACTTAGCAAAATGTCTTCCAGATTCATCCACGTGGTGGCAAGTGGCAACCTCCCCACCTTTTAAAGTCTGACTAGTTTCCCCCTGTACATATGTATCGTATTTCTTTATCCATTTGCCTGTGATATATACTTTGATTGTTTCCATATCTTGGCTATCATGAATAATGTTGTGGTGAACATGAGTGAACAGATACCTTTACCAAGTGGTGAGTTCATTTTTCTTGGGTCTATGCCCAGAAGAGGGATTGCTAGGTTATGAGGTCGTTCTGTTTTTAATTTCTATGGGTGTTTCAGTGCTGCTTTCCACAATAGCTACACTAATCTACATTCCCACTAACAGCGTAATAGGGTTCCCTTTCTCTATACGCTTTAAACTGTTTATTATTTTTAAGGTAATAGCCATCTTTTCAGGTGTATAATATGGTAGCTTTAATTTGGAATTTCCTGAGGAGATTAGTGAATTTGAGCAAATTTTTATAAATCTGTTTGCCATATTTACTTCTTCTTAGGATCAATACCTGCCCAAGTAATTTGCCCAAGTTTTAGCTGGATTGCTTGCTTCTCTCTTGTTTTAAGAATTATTTATGAATTTGGGATACTCAACTCTTATCAGATATGCAGTTTGCAAATATTTTTTCTAGTCCATAAGTTGTCATTTTCTTGTTAATTATTTCCTTCGCTGTTCAGAAGATTTTTTAACTTCATGTAGTTCCATTTATTTATTTGAAACCTGAGCTATTGACACCATATCCAAAAGATTATTGCCAAGGACAGTGTCCAGGAATTCTCTCTCTATATTTTCTTCTAGGAATTTTATGGCCTCTGATCTTATATTTAGGTCTTTTATCCATTTTGAGATACTTTTTGTGTATGGTGTAAAAAAAGGCATAACAAATTTAAAAGTCAAGCTGGATATTGCCATTTAAATACTGTGCATGAATTAGCGAATTACATCATGCGGGTGTAGGAAAACTTCTGGCTTTAGTTTCTAGGTTTTAAAAATACGAGCAGTGCAACCTTAAAGCAGGTTAATCATTTAATATCCTGGACTATGTGTCCTTATATACAAAATGGGGAGGCTGGTCATGGAGAATTCCTTTATAAGAGAATTGTGAAATTCAGCCAAATTAAAGAACTGTGCAAAAAGTAGTTGAAATATTAAGTTACAATTTCAAATATTTATGACACTATATTTTCCCATACTTTTAGTGTGAAAATAGGCTATAAATATAGAGACATAGAGAAGAAAAACATGTTTTTCAGGCTGGAATCCTAGCAGAGTTAAGGAGACTCCCGAGCACCAAAGTCTGATTTAATTTCCTAAATATGTGGCGTGTGTGTGTGTCTAAAAATATATGTATATATTATATATATATAATACATATACATATTATACTGTATATGTACACAGATTATTCAGGAAAATTCTGCACAGAGACAGTTATATTTTTAGACATCATGAACAAACGAAGCACCAAAATGTATGCTAACATTCTACTGGTGCTTGTGATCTGTTTTTATTTACAAAATTAGATGTTTGGGCTTTATCCTATACCAATGAAAAGCCCTAAGATCAGCTTGACAAATAAAATAGACATAAAGATAACATGAGGCAAGTTCAGCTAGGCTAGTCCTACAGCAGAAATAAAGAAAATGAAAAAAAAGTTTTGTAAGTTCATTTTCACGAACAATGGCAAAAAAAGCTCACTTTTGCCGAATATTATCAGTTAGGGATCCTTTTCTAACAGTAGCTCGGACATGGGCATTTATGTTGAAAATAAATTCATGATCTTTTCAGTGTGATCTTTCTTAATTACATTCTAGGCCTTTCCTAGGCAAGAGAAACATTTTCTTTCTCCCTGCATTAAAAAACTTTAAATACTGGATGATCACAATGACAATGTGATAAAACCTCGTCTCTGGGATTTTGTTTAGAAGAACCTCGTAGATTATCATGAGACAGAAAAATTCTTGGAGTGAAAAGACAGTTTTGTCTTGTTAGGGTCATGTGACTTGGAGCAAGCCATTGAGCTTTCAAGTCCCACTTCTGCCTGTTTAAAATACTTGAACATTACTGGAAGTCCAGTAAAAAAATGCACACATAAACTGCTCTTCAAAGAGCTTCTGCTATGTTTGGGTCTAGAATGTTAATCTAGGGACTAGGAAATTATGAAGACATCTGCTGGTTTTTTGATATACGGAGCAGAGGCTACAAATAGTATGGGTAACAGCCTGACTGGTGGGGGAAACACTCGATCCCTGTTCTAAAATCCATAGTCTCATTATTGCATGTTGTACAATTTTTTACTTCACAGATGAGAAAATGACAATTACACAGTTAATGTGAGCAAAACTAAAATCCAGATGTGTAGTTTTATTGAATATTAACCATTGCCACTTTAAGGATGACTGAAAAGTGGTCTTAGATGTTTTTAGGCTTTTTTAAAAAAATGACATATAATTCCTGTTTGTCTCACCTTGAAAAACAAGTGCTACACAAATGAGAAACAGAACCTATGCTGATTTAGCTGCCCGCTCTTTCTGGCAGAAGGCAGCTGGCTCTATAACTTTTTCCAGAAGATATGACTATTTTCTGTACATAAATTATATAATTTGAAAGCAATTCCAGGGTTCTGATGAAACTTTGATCTGCCTGTGTTTTACCATGTAGCAGCTCTTTTTTCAAGGAAAATCTGATTAGTGCAGATGGTGGGGGGGCGGGGGAGGGTCCAGCATCACTGAGGTGAGAATGGGAATGGATGTTAAAAAGGACTTTGTGTTTACATCAGGGCTTCAAATTGACGTAAACTTGCATTTCAGTGTGTTCAGTTGAAATATTTTCTAGTTAAATTATACTTAATGATTTACCATGTGGGATATTTGAGTGGGATGTGACTCAGAAAAAGAAAAAAGGCTTGAGCTGAAGTCTTAAAGGATAGGTAGGATTTAATAGGTGAAAGAGGACTTAAGAGATCCATGGAGAAGAACAAGCATGTGCAAAGGCCCTGTGGCTTGAAGGAGCAATCAAAACTGGAAAGTAAAAGTAGCAAAAGGAGCCCAGGTACTTAGAGAAAATGGAAGACACAGAGAAAGTGGGTGTGGAGGCGAGAAGAGCCACATCCCTTTCAGGTCAGGTCTAACTGGCCAAACTCACTCTTAACTTTAGACTCAGAACAAGTGTTTCTCCCTCTCAGTGCTTTTACTGATTCTCTCATTAACACAGCTGACATCTATGACCTAAGTGACCATGCTGTCATCTACCACACTCAAATTTTCCTTTAAATTATTATTTTACCATGTTGCAATTATTTATGGCTATATTTAATTTTTTACTAATGATGGACTCTGAGTTTCCTGTGGGCAGGATCTATTCAACCTGTATTTTTTTTCCCCCAAGCACATACCACCATGCCTGGAAGAAACAAATACATGTAAATATTTTCAATATGAATTAATCGATCAGGCTTCATCTGTCATCCACAAATATAATCATCTGTGCTTACGGTATCCTGCAGAAATGGTCTGATCCTATCTGTGCAAAGTAGCTCAAGCTGCTGGGTAAAGGACAGTCCAAGCGCAACATCTTGGGGTGACACTTACTAAGGTGTACATTCCAGCAGCTCAGGAATCTGGTCTGCCTGGCTCAATGCTAATTACCCACAACTGTGCACAGACAAAGTGGAAAACACAACCCAGATCACGGAGTGGGTAAACGTGGTGAAAGTTCAGAGTGGAGAATGTCTTCACCCTAATCTGGGTTTTGCTAATAATTTCTCAGAAGGCTGAGTAAATAACTTAGGTTATGTTACCTTGTTTTCCCAACCAGTGAAAATTAGTAGAATTATTATAACATTCGGCTTGAGCTCTCAAAGAAATCTAAAGGTAAGGGAGAAAAGGCTGCTAAATTACATCTAATAGTGCTCGCTCCATCTGGTGACCTCTGCTCTCAGGGGATATTAAGTGGCCTTAAAAAAATTAGCTAAGTCTGTTCTAAAGTTAGTCTAGACATTAGGTATAAATAGCAAGAAAGACACTCGAAGATAGATGTTGATCAAAATATTCAATGGGTTAGTAGTTACTGACATGTTTTTCTGGGGATAAGAAAAAAAGACAAGTATTTAAGAAAAGCAAAAACTTTTGAAAAAAATATTTTTTGTTGTTTTGAGAAAAGGACATTTTCAGATCTTGCTAGTATATCTTTGGGTATATATTCATGCTAATATTATACCAAGGAAAAAGCTGAATGAAAATATAAAATTGTGAACTACTGGGAATGAATTGCACAAAGCAATTTCTAATGCACTTATTATTGTTTTCCCTTTTTGTGGTATTGGGGATGGAAGCCAGAGGGCTGTGTGTGCTGGACAAATGCTCTAGTGCTGATCTACACTCCCAGCTTAAAACAAAAACAACTTTGATTTAGGGTCTCACGAAGTTGCTCAGGCTGGCTTTGAACCTGTGATCCGCCTCCTCTGAGTAGCTCAGATTGCAGGCACGCACCACCACACCCCAACCTATAACCAGTTAATTTTATAGTGAATAAAGTACAGTCACTTAAAATCAAGACTAGAAACTCTTTCATTAGAAGACTTGTCCCTTGGGAGCAGATACCACATCTTCATTTTATATTCCCTGTACTTAAGATAAACCGAAGAATAAGGAATCTCTATAAATATTTGAGGAATGGATAAATGAATAGAAAGGGCTGTATATAGTACTTTCCTCTTCCTGTTTTTTAGGCTAAGTATTATAAATAAGATCTATCCTTGACTTTGAAGTAGTTTTCTCAGACATATGTGATTATCAAAATTACTTTCACCCAACTGTAATCAGCTGGGAGGAGGGTGGTGCTGGTCTCCCCGCTGTGTTTTGGCCTTTAGTGAGGACTCTACCCAAGCTTTTCAGGATGAAAAAATAACAGAGAGCTGAGAGGAGAAGAGGAACAAGGGGGGGGGTCTATTATCCCATTAAAAGCTATTGTGAAAAACCAGCACTAACTTCACCACTGGGTTTGCACAGGATTGTTGTACAATCTGGACTTGCTCTGAAAGTGCTTTGTTCCTTCCAAAGAAAGTCAGATGGTGGCTGATGCTTTCCTTTGGGTGCTGCTGCCCACACCTGCAAGAAAACATTGTGTAAGTGACAAATGCCACTGGGGTTCAACAAAGCTCTGTAAATGTCCGATTGTCTTTCCGAACAGATGAAGTTTAAAGCTGGGATCTCATCCTATTGCCCAGCCTTGCTCCAAATGCCTGAGCTCAAGCAGTCCTCCTGCCTCAGCCTCCTGAGTAGCTGGGGCTACAAGTGTGTGCCACCATGCCCAAGCTCAGATGAGGTTTTAAAATATAAGGGCTTTAAGATATACCACCCAGCGATGTAACACCAAACATCTACTGTAAATGATTTAAGAGAGTAAAAGAAAAAAGGGGAGCCCCTCTAGCACCAACAATTCCCCATTCTCTGAGCAGATAACCCCTTTGCTTGTCTTCTAAGGAAATGTTTGCTTAATTTGAGGAATTTGGGAATTCCATTTAAATAGTTCAATGATAAAAAAAAGATACCATACCCTAAATGGAAGAATGCTGTGGGAATTTAGTTATGGCTATTCATTTACATAGATAAAGCGGCACAATACAACAGCAGCAGCTGCAGCAGCAATGAGATCACACGTTACAGAAAGATGGGAGAAGAGGCCCGAGGCAGTCACAGGCTGAGTGTGGGGTTTGTTTTCTACATTGTCCGCTCCGGGCGTTTACCTCTCATACCCACCGTAACTGTGGAGCCGGCCCGCATTATGACATTTGGGAGGAATCGGTACAGAGAAACTGCTTTTCCTTTCACATTTTGCTGGAGAATATGATTTCCAATCGCCACTTCTTTGTCGAGGGAAGAGTTAAGGAGCTTCACAAACAAACCCTTGACATTCACTTCAGCTATCTTAATGTCTCCAAGAGAACTAGAGGATAAAACACAGAGATTGTGAAGTGACTGGGATGTGTTTGGCTTGCTTTAGGAATTAAATAATAAATATACCTTGGAAATTGTCCCTAAACCATATATTCTGTTAAGGAAAGTTTATACAGAAATCATTACTTTGCAACCTAAAACAAATGGCTTGACTTCCTAGTTCAGTCTCTATTGGGGCAAAAACATTGTCTGTTTCACATAAAATAAAGAAAATCTAAAAGGTGTTTTATGTATCAGGATATAAATGCCCAAATGAAAGTATAACTAACTATGTTTTAAATTTTCTACTGTCGTCCAACATTGCTTCTGATAAAATGTGAAAGTGACTAGTGGCTACATGTTGAAAAGAATTTTAATTCTCATGCAAACATAATATGATAATTTTTTACTTTCTGACTGGTGTTGAGAGCTTCGTATGTTGCAGGGATCTGGCTTATCATTCGTATATTGGCATTTTTCAGAGTGTGGTTTGCAGCCCATTTGTAGGACATGAAATCCCTTTAGTGGGTTAGGACCTCCACCTTAAAAATAAAGTATACGTAGACCAATAATTTCAGCCAATTATTACTTATGTATCAAGCAACTGAAAAAAAATCTACATCCTGAATTTTCTAGTCATTGAAGTTATTTGTAAATTTTAGGTGTACGTTATGATCACATTCCTAGGGAATTTGTACCTGTACATGACATATCTTGGTTATTTTTCCTTTCCCTCCCTCCCTTCAATCCTGCCACCCCTCCCTATTTACAAAAGCTGTTTCCATTATTTATTTCTTATTTTTTTCTTTCTCTCCTTCTGGTTCCCCACTACCACCAGAGTGTATAACAGATATTGTGAAATAGGAAGAAAATGTTTAAAGAGTGCATCCCTCTATTTTTATCTTCTTACATTTCTATGTCTCCACAATTTCTTATCTACAGCTGCAAAATCCAGAAAGCTTTGAGCCTCCACCCAGATTTTTAAAACATATTTGAAGGGAAATATGACCCCAGACTGAAGCAAGTATATTTACAGTCTTTGTTCATGGTTTGAGGGAATACTCACATGCTTTTCTGGGGAAAGATTGTTTGATTTTTTTGATATTCCTCTAAATCTGATGAAGCATTATATAATATGTATTCTAGGCAATGAATAACTTCCGAAAATCCCCAAGTACTGAATCTGGAACTACATAATTCTTTAAATATTTTGGTGAAAGTACTGTAGACTTGTAGTAACTCATTTAATTGTCACAACAACATATATAATTTCTCATAGAAATACATATTTCTTAGATTTTTTTTTTTTTTTTTTTTTTTTTTAGGTACTGGGGATTGAACTCGGGTCCTCTCGCTTGCAAGGCAGGCCACTGAACCGCTGAGCTAAATCCCCGGCCCATGTATTTCTTATTAAAGGTCACACTTTAAAAATGTGAGGAGCATGGTATCTTCTAATTTAGTTCTCATAAAAATCAACCGAGAGAGCCACTATTGTCAGTCTCATTTTTTTGATAAGAGAACAGGTTTAGAGAGACTGATTCCCATATCCAGTGTCACTAAAAATATTAGTATTTGTTCTTTCACCTCACTCAACTAGCAATATCTCAAAGAGATTTCAAGCAGTCATCCAGCTTCTCAACTTGTTTAAAATGTGTCCATGCTAGAAAACACACACACACACACACACACACACACACACACACACACACACAGGTTAACTGTTGCTGCTAAATATTAGCGATCTCCACCACACCAGGGCCCTCTGTGCAGCTGCCGTGATTGTCAGCAAGCTATCTTCTTCACCAGCTGAGCCAGCACCTTCTGGAATGCCCCACACCATGCCTCACACCTCTATTTTCATTCTCAGCAGATCACCTCACTAAAAGACTGGTTCTGAGAGAACTGCATTTTCTGCTTCTCACTTATGAACAGGTTCACCTATGCGCACACCTTTGCTCGGTTCCAGCACATTTTGTTTCAGTGGAAGAGGGACCTTCTCCCATCCAAAAAGGACGCCCTGGTTACCACTGCCTCTCGCTTGCTTTCAGTCCATTCATCATCCTACCTTTATCCTTTACCTTCACCATCTTCCTCCTGACTGCCCTGCTCTCTCCCGTATGGATGTATCCTCAAAGATTACCAGCTCAGAAAAGGAAACGAGCAATCGCCCATGAACGTGTACCTCAGACTGCCGTTGTAACCCAGTCTGTTACCGACTCCTCCCTTTCTCTTTACTCCTCAGCCCCTACCACCGATGTCAGCTGTAGATGCAGATGACCGGCGCCCTTCACAGTCGGGGCACTGAGTGGTAGCTCTTCAGTCTTTGTCTATGTCTCTGCAGTATTTGCTTATGGCAGATAAACCCTGTTTTACAGACTCCCTCTCCCTTGTTTTTCCTCCATCAGACTAACTGCTCCTTTTCAGATCTCTCTTCCTTTACCCATGTGTCAGATCTGACCCTAGGATTCTATCGTCAGCCTTTATTCCCAACGTTCTTTATAGAGGTGACATTGCCCACAAGAGGTGCTTCCATCATTACGCCAATGGTCACCAGAGCAGAAATCTATTACCTGGGCTTTCCCGCTGAATTTCACACTTGTAGAGCCAACAGGTCACAAGACCCCACAGGGCTTCTGAAATCATCATTCCGCCTGTCGTGAATCTGGTCCTGAAGCAGAAATCTATTCCAGTGCTGTCCATGCTGGAAACTCATGGCTCTCCTCTCCTGTACCCTTCATGCTTTACCCGTGACCAAGTCCTGTGGATTGCACGTCTTCAGCTTCTTCTCCCCACTGGAATGGTTGTTGTTTCTGTTAGGACTTCATTTCTGTGTGACACAGCCACAGCACCCCAACTGGTTTTTCCAGGTGCCTGCTCTGGTCCATTCTCCGTGTTACCAGAGAAATCTTTGTACAATCTACATCTGTCATCACCACTTCCCTGCTGGGAAAACTTCCTTCCAGGGAAAAGCATAGAAACCAGGCCCTAGTAGTCTATCAGCCTCTTTAATCTCTTTTCCCTACTTTTCTCATGTTTAAACTGAAATCACAAAAAATTCCTTGCAAGAGCATAAGTCACGCTGCTGCACAGTTTACAAACTATCCAAGTAAATGCTGTTCCTTATCTTGTTCTCCATATCCTTACCCGCGTGACAAATTTTAGCCTTAATTTCTTTCACTTGTAACCCAGATTTTATTTTCTCCTGATTACAGTGCAGTTGAATAAATTACTTTTTGGTCACCTTGTTTTCCTCTCTTGTGAGTTGCCTGCTCATATTATTTTGCTCGCTTTTCTGTCAGTGGTTTTGTATTCTTATGACCAATGTGTTGTAGGTGACCCTGAGTCCCTGGCCCCACTCTGGGCACCACCTGTAGCTGGATCACCCAGCCAGACTTGCTCTGGGGTGCCAGAACCACAACCTTGCTCCTTCCTGACCTGGGGGTGAACAAGGACAAAACGCCAAGACACTGAGTTAGCTCAACATGCAGACAACCAGGAGGCTCGTACCTTTAGCAAGCAGAGGAACCCTGAGCCCTTGGATCACCTCGCTTTTATTCACCCAAACACGGGCATAAGCAATCAAAGCAACACAAGATTTATCTGCTTTCCAATATCCATTAGAACATCACTAGTAAACAACTTAACCTCAGGTATCTTCAGTTTTCCTTAATATGAAGTCCCCCGAGTGCAGCCTTTCTCCTTTGTGCTCACAGAGGAGGCCAAGAGGTCCTAATTCTCCTCTTGTCCTGTACAATGTACAGTACTTATAGGACAGTATTTAATGCATGCACACATATTCTGCAAGGAGGGGCTTTTAATGATCTTTATAATACAGTTTAAACTAAAACTTTTACTGTGATGAAATAATTAATGCATGCACACATATTCTGCAAGGAGGGGCTTTTAACAATGTCTTTATAATACAGTTTAAACTGAAACTTTTACTGTGACAAAATTTATCAATCATCTCTTATAGTTTCTACTTTTGTGTTTTATAGAAGAACTCTTGTATTCTTCTGGTTTGGGGGTGGGGGAGTAGTACTGGGAGATGAATGCAGGGTCTTTGCACTCAGCTATCTCCCTATACCCATTTTTATTTGAGACAGAGTCCTGCTAATCTCTAAATTACTCATGCTGGGTTCAAATTTGCAGTCTTCCTGCCTCAGTCTCCTGGAGTGTGGGGTTACAGGCATGTTCCACTGTGTCTGGCTTCTTTCCATACTCTTACATCATATTTTCTTCTAAATATCTCAAGGCTACACTTCTCAGAGCCTTAATTTGTATGTCTATCATTTGTTATCCATTGATTGATTGATCTATCTTATCTATTTATCTATCTATATCTCAGATGTGCCTCCACCTGTAATGGAGTTACCAACTCCTGACAAACTCATTATAAATTGAAACTATCATAAGTTAAAAATGCACATAATACACCTAACCTACTGAACATCATAGCTTAGCAATACAGTGCACTGTAGAGCTACAGCTGTTTATCTTCATGATAAGGGGCTTCCTGGGAGCTACCACTTACTGCTCCTGCCCAGAATCACAGAGGAGTGTTAGATGGCACACTGCTGGCCCATATAAAGAACAAAATTCGAAGTGTGATTGTTATTAAATGTGTATTGTTTTTACACCATTGCAAAGTTGAAAATTTTTGAGTTAGACCATTTTAAGGGGCTGGATAGGTATATGTGCACATATGTGTGTATATGTATATGTGTGTACATGTGTTTTTCATAGAGGAAGCTAATTTTCCCAGGTATATCTATTAAGTTGTCCATAATCTCCCTACTAATTTTTTTTAATGGTACTGTGGATTAAACCCAGGGTCTCATGCATGCTGGTCAGATGTTCGACCACTGAACTGTATCCCCAGCTTTTCTTTTTTAAATTTTGAGGAAAGGTCTCTCTGAGATTCCCAGGCTGGTTTCTAACTTGCAGTCCTTCTGTTTTAACCTCCTAAGTGGCAGGGATTATATGTGTTTGCCACCATTCCCAGTTCTG